AAAAAGGGAAAGTCAGAGGAAAGATGTGTTTTTTTCCACAAAGGTCCACAACAGCTTGGACTTCTTAACCTTCCCCAGTTTGAATGGAGTGCAGCCTGCTGAGACACACACACACACAATATCACACACTAACAACGTCAATTTCACCTCCGGCAATCCGGCATCACATTTTTTTCCAGCCTTCGGAAAAATCAACTGAACTTTTGCCCACATTTAAAAAAAGAATCGTCACAAATTTAATGCCCGTAATGGATTCACTGGTCCCTTCATGCTGCACTTTCATGTGTTTTTCTTAAAATACATTGTGAACAGCCCCCCAAGGAAACCCTTACAAGAAGCAGATTTACACATGTAGTCTAAGTTTAGTTGTCTGTCTACATGCTGTGGTTTCTGTTTTAGATCAAACTAATTCTAGGAATGTGACCTGTTTAAGGCTTCCCTCCATCACAACACCAGCCTGTATTGACTTGTACTCTTTGACACGTCTCAGTATAAAGTCTGATTAGGTTGCAGCACATTAGCTTTGACTTGCAAGACCAGAAAAAAATGAAGATAAACGTTTGAGGATCGGGCTGAATGTGCATTCTTTCTGTAGCGACTGTCCTCTGATGAACTGAAATCAATAATCAATGATCAGAGACTGCTGATTTGTCTCTTTTTATCAGCCCATTTCTTGTAATGCCTCTCTTTCCCTCTTCACATTCTTGTCAGTGTGATCGGCAGGTCAACAGTCAAACCTTCCTGCTTCACTTTAATCCCGTTATGAGACGGACTCCTTGTGTTTCCTCAGACAGATGCTAGAAGGACACTGGTGGAGTTGCTGCTGCAGAAAGCTGATTTGTGTTCTGAAGGGATTTAAATTGTCACATTTTTGTTGGCGAGGCCGTCTTTGATTATGAACCCAAACACCTTATTCTGTTCTCAGCTTGATCCTAATGCCTCTCTCCTCCTGCCAAGTTAAATCTACAGGACAGCATCCAAGCAGGAGGCTGTGGCTGCAGAGTGACAACCTGGCCTGAGAAAGCCAAAGCACAGCTACATTTTATACCTTGATTAAACTTTCAGTCACTTCTGCACACCAGTAGTGGAAAATAACAAAATACATTTAGTCAAGTACTGTACATCTGTACCATTCTGGGGTACTTGCACTTCAGTTGAGTATTTCTAATTTATGCTACCCTTCAGAGAGAAATATTGTACTTTCTGCTGCACTACATTTATCAAACAGCTTTAATTAGTTTAAGGCAAATATTTTACACACTGGACACACTTTATGTGCTAAGAATAAACCAATGGTTTCTAAACATCTTGGTCACATTTCAAATGTCTAGAAGGATTTTTCCCTTAAAACTTCCCACATGGCTTCCTTTCAGTTGTTCTAATGATCCAATATGTCACCAAAAATCAGAGAATCATGAAATCGTCCAAAAATTGAAAACAGATGAGTGAATCAGAACTTTGTCTTTTCTTTATTCCTCTCTCGATGATCATGTGTTTATCTGTTACATTGACCTGCTGTCCCTGTTATAAAAAACTGTTTCTGCATTATGTTGCAGATGTTTGCAAATTATTTAATTATCATTTTCTTCTATGTGATTTTATATTAATCTGGTTTATACGGTGGCCCAGAAGTGTCACAACAAAACAAAAGCCACAACGCAACACAATAAGCCACAACACTACAAAATTAGCCGCAACACAACACAACAGCTGCAACGGAGGTTGTTTTTTTTGTCCGGAAGTTATACTGTGAAGTGCGCAACCACACGAAGTGGGCAGAAGCTGGAAACAACTCGAGAAGTAAGTAAAATTCTGATGACAAATAGTGTCCATTAATCTTGGTATATGCGCTATTAGTAAACATTATTTACTATCAATATTTTACTTACTTCTCGAGTTGTTTCCAACAATCTCCAGCTTCTGCCCACTTTGTGTGGCGTTGCGCACTTCACAGAATAACTTCCGGGTAAAAAAAAAAAAAAACGACTTCCGTTGCAGCCGTTGTGTTGTGTTGCGGCTTATTTTGTAGTGTTGTGGTTAATTTGGTTGTGTTGTGGTTAATTTGGTTGTGTTGTGGTTAATTTGGTTGTGTTGTGGTTAATTCTGTAGTGTTGTGGTTAATTCTGTAGTGTTGTGGTTAATTTGGTTGTGTTGTGGTTAATTCTGTAGTGTTGTGGCTTTTGTTTTGTTGTGACACTTCTGGGCCACCGTAGGTTTAAATATGTAGATTTACTCACCATAGCTTAGCCTCCCTGTCTGATCAGACCGAGGACGCTGATTTGAGTGAGAAAGCATTTACTGTCTGGTCTGGAATTTTGCATTTCTATGTAACAAGCGCCGACAAATGACAAAGAAAAAGTTTACAGATTTTGAGTCCTTTCAGAGACAGAAGGCAGAGTTGCAGTATGTTTTTTGGTTTCATATTCTGGATAGGTCTAGCTGTCAAAGGGTTTTTGATATGAGTGCATTTGTGAATTTAAAAAACAGATAACAAAGAATTGATCTGTCACACAAACACTTATGAGCTATATTGATGCAGATCCCTTAGATTTTTGTTTTAATTATGACCAAGATGCAGACTGATATGGATGTTTTGTAATAAAAATAGTGGAAAATGTAAATGTAAAGTAGACTCTTAAATGCAGGAGAAAGAAGAAAATCCCTTCTTACAGCTGTTTCAGCCCCTGACATTAGCTTGAAAAATATTTGACCACTCACCCATGCAAATTTTCTTCCGTTGCGATGTGTTTGAGGATTTTCTGGCATCTTCTGCTTGTTTCCAATCCCCAAAAACATTTCAAAGAGACTTCAATGTAGCCAAAAGATCATATGATGATCTTTTAGGGCATAATTACCATCCGCGATCTCAATGACATATTTTCCACAGATTTATTTGAACTCGTGATCACATGATTAGTTGTGAATACGACTGCCCGGATACGAAACATGTAACTTCAACCCCAGGCTAAAGGCCCAACTCACACATATCTGCTTCCTGCTGAGTTCATTGCAAAAATTATTAGTTACAAAACAAGTTTTTGAGGAATTCCACGGTGGATCTGTTAGATTTCTGGACAGATTGCTTCACATTATCTTCAAGCAGCCTTTGATATTATGCAGGATTCATAGTTGAATCATTGACTACAAGCATCCTGGTGCCTGAGGCTGCAAAGCTTCAGCTGGTCTGAAGTTCTTCTCCTGACAGCTGTCTCTGCATCAAACTGTGGCCAAACAGCTTGATCTTTGATTTGCCCATCCAGAGCACATCATTCCTAAACACCTGGAAAAGCAAAGGCTTTTTCCTGGCATGCCTCTCATGCAGACCAGATGTGTGCGATCACTTTCTGATTGTAGACGCAACACCCTCTTTTTTGTAGGCCTTAGACCTTAGCCTGATGACACCACTCACTTCAATAGCAACGACAACAGCAGACCCTGGATGTTAGAGGTTTGACTAAGACAGGTTCCACCTTTCACTCCTAAAGGAGGTTCTAACTACTGACACCCAATCTGGAAACCCCAGACTGTAATATTATGGATTTGAATTTGTAATAAATGTACTTACTTTTTCCATGTGACTGGTCCACCCATCCCTCCATCCATCCATCCATCCATCCATCCATCCATCCATCCATCCATCCATCCATCCATCCACCCATCCATCCGTCCCTCCGTCCACCCATCCATCCGTCCCTCCGTCCATCCATCCATCCATCCATCCATCCATCCATCCATCCATCCATCTATCCATCCATCCATCCATCCATCCATCCATCCATCTATCTATCTATCTATCTATCTATCCATCTATCCATCCATCCATCCATCCATCCATCCATCCATCCATCCATTCATCCATCCAAATGTCAATTTTAGGTGTCCTTTGTTCAAGTATACCACCGTTATCTATAGGCACTGTTTCAAAGAGGATTAAGTGCTTGTCTGAAGATGTTGAAAAAATCTGCTGTTTCCTTAAAATGTACTTATTTTTTGACATGACTGTACGATTTGGATCTAGTTTTTCCTGTATATTTCTGAGAGCATGAAGGGATTTATTTACTCTTGTGGCTTTTTATGAAATAAAGGTCATGATTTACTCACATTTTCATTTCTCATGACTGCAACAAATCCTACGAAACTTGTAACATAAGTTAAACAGTACTCAGCAGAGATGGGTCATGGTAAGCTGGTGATTTATAGCGTAACTGATTCCTGCAACAGTCCATGATTTGAATGGCTGTGAGGTCTCAACAAGTCTAAACAAGCTGGAGGCCTGTGGCTAATTCTCCCCCCTCTGGGTTTATTAATTTGAGATTAACTGACCTGTTACTGGCAAGATGCTACACTGAATGTTCTTCTTACGTAAAAGTACTACAGGCTCACGCAGCATGAAGCAATGGCGGGAACTGCTTACGTCTAATACTGATGTGGGGGGTACTACTAAACAAAACACTGTCCAAGTCTTATATCAAAAGCCTTTGTTAAAAACATTTGTAGTAGTGCTGTGTGTACCTCTGACAGGACAGACACATCCAGGCTTTATTCAGACTGAAACTATCCTGGCATGAAACTTGCGAATTAGGGATTTCTGTTTTTCTGCCATGTGGGTGTCAGCTCTGGTTAATGAAGGTTAATGAAACTCATTTTCATAAGGTCTTAGCAAATGTCATGAGGTTCCTCTTTAGTTCAGCTGCTGTTGCGACAGAGCGGTTGGAGAGGCTGGTATGTCGATATTATATAACCATAACCAGATTAATGCGACATCAGTGTGAGTGTGTGTGCAGCCCACTTGTATTCTAAGCACACAGGATAAACTCACGACTATGACTAAAATTAGTAAAACGTTATTTATGTGTGCACACATGGATGTCTGTGGAAACTCAGTGTTATTGTTGTTGTTAAGCTCATAAGGTTGACACAGTTATTATTAAGGCCTGTATTTAAACATGCATTATGTTTGTGTGTTAAGTCTAAGAAGGTTTGTGTTTTCTTGGTTGCAGGAGGCATGCTGTGCGTACGTGTTGATGGTGACGGCGGTCTACTGGGTGTCCGAGGCGGTTCCTTTGGGTGCTGCTGCTCTGGTGCCAGCCTTCCTCTACCCGCTCTTTGGAGTCCTCAAGTCCAGCGAGGTGAGTCTGTCCGTCTGTTTGGAGTTTCAGTTCTTAGAGGCTGAAATAATCTCCATTGGGTTTGTGAATTCAGAAGCTAGCGCTAACAAAGCTAATTCAGTGCAACACTTCCACTGGGATAAGTGTCATGTAGCCGACACTTTATTTTTTTCCATTTATTTACTAATTTTGTCCCCGAACAATGTTCATATTGTGTTTCCGACCTATTAGCATAGATAGCATTGTTAGCATTGTTAGCACACTGCATTTAATGTTTGTTAAATGTGGCTCAGTCTCTCACATTAGCAACATTAGCTAACATAAATTAGCCAGTGTTTTTCCAGACCAGACAAATTAAAGTTCAGTATTCACTGTTCTTGTTGCTCTGCTTTTGTTTCCACAAACTTTTTTATTATCTTTTAATTTTTAAAAGTATTTTCTCTACAAAATGCTTTGGAAAATGCTGCAATGAGTCTTTTTCTATAAGAAATTAAACCTTTACATCAAGTACATGTGAGTTCAGTGAATTATTCTGAGGGCTATACCATGAGCTATTTATTTTTTAACTGAGAATATTTTTTTGTTTGTTTTGACATTTTGGAAAATTAAGTCTGCAGAATCAGCTCCTAGAAGTTCTCATTTGGTAACTTCCAATAGATGTACAGATAGGTGTCACCTGAAGAAATTTTCTAACGTGATGGTTTCCCTTCAAGTTTTGAGAGTATAAGAATATTTTTTATAATTTCTGAGCACATTTGTGTGTTTATTTGTAATATACATGGGAAGTGATGTTCTTGTGAAGTCATGCTGAATCAAAACTGTATGTCTCATGTGTGTTGGTCAAAATTTAACACTAGTCGTGGGTCGGTAAGTGGTTCTGTCCTCTCCACTAATATCCCATGTCTGTCTCCAACAACTAAATCATTTTCTACATTCCAAATCAAAAAAGGAAAACAGGCCAGTTGAGCAGAAAACCATCCAGTAGTACCTCTGATTAGAAAATAAAAGAAGCAGTTGTTATTTAGGGCAGGCGGTGAACTGCGTAGGGCTTAACAACAATGTCGATAAACAGCGGGGGTTTTAACATGTGGTACAGTTCTGGTAGTAAGAGTCAGCTGATCAGATTGCTGTATATGCGGATATACAGTAAATCCAACGTGTGAAAGGACTTTCTGTGCTCTAAGTATATTTCAAGAATTCGGGTCTGCTTGCATGTTTCTGTGTGCTTTGAAGTATTTCAAAGGTTTTTTGGATGCATACAGGATTTCATGATGGTGATACTTGTCCTGTTACGTGTTGACCTGAACACACGTGCCACACGCAGCGTCTCACACGTCCATTAACACCACGTCATGCTGTAACTGTGTTGCTCCACCCTGGTGTGATTTGATTGGATTTACTCCCCTTTTTCATTCCATTAACACAATTCCCTCTCTAATAAACTCAATTTCCTCGTCTTTACTTTTGTTTTTTTTAATTAGCATTACATAAAAAGTGAGCTGTATGCCTCATGTGATCGAATCGCGTTGACAAACAGTGACAAAGCTGCCTGCTAACACCGCTGTAAGCCGCTTGCGCTGGTGGCCCATAAATATGCCAGCAGAGAGCTTTATGCAACAGTCTATTATGGTTTTCTCACTTTCTCCCCAAACTCTCAGATTTTTTTTTCCAGTGCATGCTTTAATGCTGCTAGTTTACAGCGTAGGTTCAATCTTTGTGCCCCGCCACTCTAGAGTTAAACGTAACAGGAACGATACAAACCGTTTAATCTGATTAAAATTTTCCATACAGTATCCTAATTTTAAAAATCAAGTCTTTTAAGTTTTTCTTGAGCTCCAAAAAAAAGCTGACACATTGAAATTGATTAGATAGGACTGAAATTTGGATTATTGGCTGTGAATCTAACTTACTGCTGATTAACTGCGTTTCAAAATGAGCATCATTAACTAAGATGCTAAAGAATTAAAAGCTGTAAGGGATAGTCTGCATGTGCAGCAGTTACTCTGTGTTTGTTAAACCAGTCTCGCCGCTACGCTTTACATGAGTCAGCGCTGAGAATTTCAGTATTTTAATCCTTTCCTCGACTTATACTCATTACCAGTCTGCAGCTCCTTTAGATGGGATAAGAATGAAAGTGTTCTCTGTGAAGCAGGTGTTAGTTCCTGGACATATTCCTGCATCGCTTCCATTCCTAGTTTTAAATTGGATTTATATTCATCACGGCAGTCGAGGAAGTCGGTCTCCATCCTAGTATGCAGTTTCTTTCTAATTGCCAGTTTCTTTGGAATTTTAATGTGAGAGCCAACAGATACGGCGTGTAGAGAAAATGCAGCCAGTTTTAGGTGAGAGGTGAGGCGACGTGGGCTTATACAACCCCGCAGGGCCGTGAACCCTGCGGGTGGGAAGTAGAGCAGATTAAGAAGAACAAATGGCAAACTGTAAGTGTTGATCCATACGAGGGAGGGTGAGGTGGGTGAAGGAGGGAGAAGCAAAAGGCCAGACCACTGCTTTCTGTCTCCTTAGATCTCGTTTTGTTCGTTAGTCTAAACTGAATTTTGTGCAAATGGTGAATGGTCTGCACTTATATAGCGCTTTACAATGTGTTTCTCATTCACCCATTCACACACACATTCATACACCAATGGTAACATGCACGGTGCTGCCTGCCATCGGGAGCAACTTCAGGTTCAGTGTCTTGCCCAAGGACACTTCGACTGTGGGGGGGCGGGGATCGAACCGCTAACCTTGCGATTGGAGGACAACCTCTACCACCTGAGCCACAGCCGCCCTGTGCAGTTTCATGAAATTGTTTACATATTTTGAAGTGATCTGAACTCCTAGTTTGAGATGAAAGAATGACGTTTTTGTGCCTCTGTGTGTGTGTTCAGGTGGCAGCAGAGTACTGTAAAGACACCACTCTGCTGCTGATGGGAGTCATCTGCCTGGCGGCCTCCATAGAGAAGTGGAACCTGCACAAACGCATCGCTCTGCGCATGGTGATGATTGCAGGGGCGAAGCCTGGCATGTGAGCATCACGCACACATTTTCACGCATTTACAGTAACATGAACATAATGAGCTTAAAGACATATAAATACTAGTGCTTACATGAGATTAATGACATGGGGACCAACCAAAGGTTCTAAAGCTCACAGGGTTTTTATTATTTCCATAGAAACGTAAAACTCACCAACACAAACATACATGTTGGTCAGCATCCCTTTCTCTTCTCTTTCTTTCTTGTCCAGGTTGGTGCTGGGTTTCATGTGCTGCACAGTGTTTCTGTCCATGTGGCTCAGCAACACGTCCACCACAGCCATGGTGATGCCCATAGCCGAGGCCGTCCTGCAGCAGCTGATCTGCACCGGACTGGCCGACAGTCACGATGACTCAGAGACGGGGGAGGCCCCAGAGGAGGACAATGGTATGTCTGACTTTACCGCTGCAGGGGAAGCTCAGAGTGGCCGATCTTTATTTGGCGTAGAATCTGCTTTTCAGAAAAATAGTACAGACTGTGTAATAAAATAAATTAATAACAGCGCTGATCAAACTTTTGCACAAGCAGAGGTGTGATTGGTTGTGACACAGTTAGGATGCACTCATTGGAGGCACTTAGGGCTGTCACAATATGAGGTTTTTACTACATGACTAGGGTGACAAGAATAGTTCACGTTACCAATATTACTGCAAAATCTTTTAAATATGTCAAAATTTTGCAAAAAATGATGTCAGTCACATTCATCTTAAGCTTTGCTTATTGTGTGTCTTGTTTCTTTTTCAGCAATTCACACTCAAAATAGGAGTGTATGTAACCATCACTCTACTGTATGTTGTCTCCACATACTGACAGGTGTGTCAACCAGATAGTTACTGGTGCTGGATTGTTTACAGTATTATCACATGTATATCGTTGACATTATATCAATATTTCACTTCATCTTGGAGGTGTTGTGGCAGACCAACATCCTGAAAAAGTGGAGATTTGTGAGTTTAGCCTTGTGTTAAAGCAACAGGTCGTGCATCCAGGCAACCATATGCACAACAAATCAAACGATCACATGAGTTCAACTAAGTTTCTGGACAGAATTGTGATTCAAATTGTGATTCTACCTGAAAAGATTGTGATGAGATCTGTTGGCTCGATCGCCCACCTCTAAGGAAGGACACTGAACTATAGAAGCTTCCCTGCAAAAGCTTCAACAGTAAACAGATGTTTTATAGCAATACATGCACCAACAGTTACATTAGTTATAGATGGATACGTACGTGAGGTGAGATGCAGCTTTAGCAGAAGAATTCTTTTATCTTTTAACTGTGAAGACGTTTTGAAGCAGTTGTTCTGTTGCACTGTGATGATGGTTGTTTTTGTCTGCAGGTGTTGCAGGCAAAGAGGAGAACCTGGACAAGAACCAGTTAGAGCTGCTCTATCGCAATGACAGGTAATGTTCGTTTGTTTGTGTGAACATACTGAGTGCTGTGTGCGCTCTAGATATGTGGTGTGGTCTTTTCTTCTTTCAATTTTCCTTATTTTCATCGTCGAATTGCCAGTTCCCAGTTTGTAACTCAATCTTTGTCACTTCAAACTCCAGCTGTTGGCCCACAGGGACTCTTATGATCCACACATTTTCTTTCAGTTTTGGGAAAAGGAGTTTGTGGATTTGTAGTAAATTACTGAATTTAGTAAACTGAGGAGTTTCTTTTGGACAAAATGGGTCGACATTGACAAAAAGACAGATTAACGACTGACAACGCTGTGTTTGGTTTTTATTGCTGCAGTTTGCATAGACTGGGTCAGTTCAATGAAGACTAATCAAATGAAATCACTTTTTCTACTGTTTAAATCACTTTTTTAAAGTAAATTTTCATTTTCATTTGCACAGATATGTTCTTGAATTTTATTTCCTAGCAAGACCTTCCTACAGCAAGACAAATGTAATCAGTTATTGATAATAATCATTACGTTAAAGTGTCATTTGTAAAGATGTTCTTTTACATTAACATCTGTTAAGTCTCACTATCTATCTCAGATAAGTAAGTAACACAATGATGAGTGAGCCTTTAACACACTAATGAAATTATGTGACATTGCAGTAGACTGTAGATAATGGAGTACAGCAGCTAGTAGACTTTACAGTATTAAGAACTGGGCATCTGTGTTGACATTCAGCACAAAATCACAAGTCATACAGAGTTCGTGAGGCGTGTTCCATCACCCAGCAGTCATCTTTCTGCTGGAGCTAGCATGACAGATTTGATATTTAAGTCCACTGTGTGTGAAGCGACATACAGTTGTTTCCTCTTTTAGTATTGGTGAATAAACAAAGAATGTTGTTGTGGAGGCATGGCCCAGGTGTTACAAAAAAAAACAAAAAACTTGAAATGAACAAGGGCTGCAAGGTAGATCAGTGGTTAGCACCGTTGCCTCAAGCAAGAAGGTCACCGGTTCGCATCCCGGTGAGGACACCCGGGATCTTTCCGCGTGGAGTTTGCATGTTCTCCCTGTGCAGCGTGGGTTCTCTCTGGGTTCTCCAGCTTCCTCCCACACAGTCCAAAAACATGTGGAGGTTAATTGGTGATTCTAAATTGTCTGTAGGTGTGAATGTGAGTGTGCTTGGTTGTCTGTCTCTAAGTGTGGCCCTGTGATAGACTGGTGACCTGTCCAGGGTGTCCCCTGTCTTCACCCTGAGTCAGCTGAGATAGACTCCAGCCCCCCACGACCCTAGTGAAGATTAAGTGGTGTATAGATGATGGATGGATGGATGAAATGATCAGTTATTGCTGTGGATACTACCTAAGACAATAAAACAAAGATCTTAAAGACTGCCACTTTAATTTTCTCTCCTCTTCTGTCTCCAGCAACACCAACCCCAAACAGGAGCTTTCTACACTCAGTGAGGTGAGACCTGTCAAACCTTCTTCTGTGTTTGAAATAGAAGACAGAAAAATCCATGGACTATAAGTGAAATCTCTCTTTCTGTGTGTGTCCCTCTCCTTTTCTCAGGCACAGACTGGTGAGGTCAATGGTTTGGGTCTGAGGCCGATCTCAAATCAGAATTTTATAACGCACACCAACGGACATCTGCCACAGGTTAGTAACACATTATTGAAGACATTAACGAGGCTGGTGTGTGACAGTAAGGTGACACTTCTCTGTCCTATGCAGCTAGGGCCAGTTCAAACAACCATTTCTCAACAATGTCCCCCTCTTTCCTTCTTAGGTTGCCATTGAAATCCCAAATGTGAAGCGGGTGAAGATGAGGAGAGACTCCCAGTATCCCACCAAGAGAGATCACATGATCTGTAAATGCCTGTCGCTCAGCATCACCTACGCTGCCACCATCGGAGGACTCATCACCATCACCGGCACGTCCACCAACCTCATCTTTGCTGAGCAGTTTAACAAGTAGGTACACACACACACAAACACTTGTTTGTACACACATACACTAAACAAACATCCACCATTCACTGACAGTAAAATGAACACTAAAGCTACCAGGGGTGACCCAACAGCTGAGTGGTTCATACACAGAGCACAGTGACACAAAGTCCCTGGTTTGATTTCTGGCTGGAGACCATTAGCTGTGATTTCCCCGACCCTCTTGTCTCACATTTTCCTGCCTCTCTCCACTACCAGCGCACAACGAAGGCATAAAAGTGCCCCAAAATAACGGAAATATAATAAAGCAGGTTTCCAAACAGTTTTGAACTGGCATTAGAAAGATATTTTTGGTCCGTATAAGCTCAGGTCGACTGCAGACACCATCTAAAGCATATTTACAGCTTGATTGGTTTCTTGGCTGCTGTGCTGGTTGGACTGAAACTGTTTATGTTAACTCGGTGTCTGGGTGCCACACGGGGTCTGAGTTCAAAATAATCAGCCTCAACAGTCCTGACAGAGCCGATTTCCTCCAGCCGCTGCTTTAAGCCCGGCAGAATGGCCTCCTTCATGTCGCAGCCTGTTGGACAAAGGTCGGGTTTTGATTCTGTGTGTGTGTGTGTGTGTGTGTGTGTGTGTGTGGTAGTAGTTGTAATCCTAATGTGATGTTAACAGGGACAAGAATCAGGCAAGCAGTGGATAAGAAAATCTCAAAAATCACGTGTAGAACTGATGCACTTGAACGTCCTCGCATAGTTTTAGCACAAAGCTAGCCTGTGGTCACCTGCTTCAATCAGGGTAAATACTCTGGTAAATAGGTTTGTGTGTATGTTTGTTTAGGTCAGTCAGTCCACGTTTTGGCCTGCAACAAGTCCATGCTAGTAGTGAACAACTTGACCTTGTGTGTTTCTACAAACAAACTCGATAGTTGAGGTGACAGATGAATACCAAGCCATGTGAGGAAACAGATAAGTTTTGTTATCCTTTTGCTTAAACCTTTTCTTGTTTATCAGTTATGTGCTTTCGAATGAGCTGTTTTGGTGTTCAGCGATCGATCTCCTTGTATTCTTCATTTCATAAAGAGCAGCAGTTCTGCTCTTTTTATTTTAGTAAGATGCAGAAGAATTGCAGAAACTGTATTGTTTACAGTCGGGCAGTAAATAGGAATCTAGAAGGACAAGGACAAGGATAAAGGACACTCATTCGAAGACAACAGCGTACAGATGTTGGCCAGGGAGGACAGATGGTTTGCGAGAGAGGGGTGAAAGAAGCCATCTATGTCAAACTGGAAAGACCATCCCTCAACAGAGGTGGAGGTCTGAGGCTTCACCTCCCACCTGTTTTCAGTCCTAAGATCTCTCCCCAGGAAGATGAAACCGCATCCACACCCAGACACAAAAGACCCGAACGAGCAACAACCCCCAATTGAAACCGAAACTCAGGTGTTAATGGCTACTTAGGATATAAGCATCTGGATCTCCCAACTAGTCAGAGAACTGATGAAGCCTCTTGGATAAGAGGTGGAACGTCTTCAACGAACTCAAGCAAGTCCAGTTGCTACAATCAATCTACCAGAACAACCATGACCTGGATGACTGAGAATCTTCACAGACATAGGAATCTATAGTTTGATGGACCCTAACAGCAAGTTCAGATTTTGACAGTGAAGATAATCGCTCATTGTAAACTGATTATTTACTTATTTATCATGAAATCAGTTCCTGTAACAACCAAAGTATTCAGCAATTTATGTTTCCAACAAGCTACTGTAAATTTGATAGCTAAAGTGTTTCTTTATATCACATGCTTTTGTGTTGGTTAGTAGGAAATCTCAAACACTTCTGAGTGGCTTCAAACTTATTTTATTCATTTTTCGTCTACTGTTAATGGTTGGCAGTTTTCGTTCCAAACTGAAATATCTCAGTAGCTTTGACTTTGCTTAAATTTTCTACACATTCATGGTCCCCAGCGGGTAAAGTGCACCGACTTCAGTGATCCCTTCACCTTTAGTTTAGCAGCAACATGGAGTTGATGGTTTTTTTTCTCTGTTACCAAGTGTGTTGTTTTAAGATTTGCTGAAGATATGCATCATCTCCAGAGGATAACGTGACTTGATCTTAAAGACTTGGCCCCTAAATTTTCAAGCAGCGCCATCATCAGGTCAAAAATTGTATTTGTTCAGTACATTGGTTGCTGGATATTCAGGAAATGTTAGCATGCTGACGTTAGCATTCCGCTCAGAGTATTACTGTATGTAAGAACAGCCTAACAGAGCTGCTAGTGTGGCACACCAGCAAGAATTAAAACCACTTCCCCTACACTAGCATAGCTGCAGACTCTAACTTATTTTTTACACTTAACACTTAAGATGATGAAGGCACTTGCAAATGAAACGGCAGTACAAAACATGAACTGTGTTTAATTTCTAGCTTTTTTTTATGAGCATTTCATTAATTCTCATTTATGCCACATAGAGCAAATTATTGCTTTTTGCTCTCGTAATTTATCATCATCTGACACCAGCCTGATGTTGAACACAAACAGCAAGCCATACTTTTGCATTTACTAGTATTGATTGCATCACTGTTCCTGTAGCATAGTTTTAATTGGATGTAGATTAAATTAGATTCGATTTGTTTCGCCACACTGTTTCTTGGTTCACATTTTCTTTTCATTATTTACTCCCCAGTGCAATGCGAAGGTTAACATTATGAATGGCTAGAGCCCTGTGAAGGGAGAGCGGAGTTGTTTCTGCTACAGACACACGATCATCGTCTCTGAACGTCACCTTTGCCCTGCTTAGTGTCCAGACAGACAGCAGGGAGGGCAGTGAGGCATATGTGAGCAAACACACTTTATCACCTGTACGCCTCTGAATGGCACGACGGTGGTGACTGACAAGTTCTCTGTCTGAGCTCAAAGTGCCCTGAAGCTGATACTTTGCACAAACAGCTATTGGAGTTGATGGCATTGACCTCTGAGATGATTTTCTTTTCTTTGTACAGGAGAAAATAATATGCTTGGTTTACATCTGTACAAACATTTCCTACTGTGCCTTATTCTGATCGTGACTTTGACGGTTTATGTCTCCAAATTTATAATCTCTTGTGGCTCCTGCTGCTCCTCTTTTGAGTGAAACTAGAAGCATTTGCATTGCTGGCAAATGATGAGACACATTTTTAATGCACATTAATTTAAATTATTAATGCAATTGACCAGCTATGTTCATGACATATCTGTTTTAACGTACCAGAACATGTGAAAAGCAACTACAGCAACTACTTTTCGCTCTGTTTTCAGTTTCAGAGGAGCAGATAGGAACTGAAAATAAATGAAGCTTTAAATGAGTCATTACGATGCTGTATTGCTGCTCATTTGCATATAGTTGACCGCCGCTAATCTCTCTTTCTGTTGCCAAGTCACTGAGATCCGTCTGGCAGTTGTTGCTTTGCTCTCTGTCCCTCTTTGGTGCTAAAAGCTCACTTCAAGTGAAGAAGAGCAGGTCACGTTGTCTGTTGTTGTCATTGAGCCTGGAAAGATTAAAAAAGACTTGTTTTAACTATAAAGTAACCAAACATTAAAGGCTAACTTCAGACAGCTTCTTTTAATGCTGGTATTACACCTATATATGAGTAGCTCAGGAAAATGCACTTACTATTTCCATAACACAAATAAGATTGTGTTTTAAAACTGATATATTTACTGGAAATGGTTATGCAAAAATTTAAGGGACACTTTGTCCAGAACCACTTTCTAATAAATCGTCTTTTTCAAAAGGTTCACAGGAAGTTGCTAATGCTTTACTAAAACATTTCCTAATGCTTTGGATCATTTATAAGCCATTAGTGAGAACGACTTTGGGGTTGGCAATGATCATGTAATTAATGAAAGGTCATGAATTTATAATTTTCTAATAAGCCATCAGCTAACTTTAGGAAGCAGTTTGCAAATATGACGCGATTGATAAAGAGTTTGACAAAAGTTAATCAAGTTTGTGGGTGTAGATGGTCACAAATTATGTTGTTTTTTTCCAGATGCTTCCAGGAAATTTTCTAGAAGGTTAGATATGTCATGCATTAAACAGGATTAATTATTTTTTAAATGACTGTTTCATATATCAGTAAATTGAATAACTGAATGTGCCTTTTCCAACGGTGATTAGGAAGAAGTCTCATTAGAGGATTTAGGTGACTGTCTACGGCCTCTGTCCTGTCCTGTACTTAAGTAAACCAGGTCATCCTGTGGTCATTCCTGTGGGTTTCATAGCCGTGACACTCACACTGACATCACCTCTTATCAGTGCAGAGGGTCAGCTGTGCTGCTGCTCAGATAAGTAGACAGGAATGACAACAGCTGGCAGTCAAAGCAAACACACCGACACAACACAGACACAGGGTCAAAGTAGACAGCTGAGGCAGGCTAAACGTTATTTTTAACCCCGATAGGGTTCTATTTTTATCCTTACAAGTTCTGTCAGTGGTTCATGAAGTTCAGCCTTTTTAAAAAACTGTGAAAGCGACTGAAAAACTAGTTAGTGTGAAATGGCCCACTGCAGCGGTCCGGTGAGATCATAGCAGAGGTGTCTGACTTTATGATCCAGCAGCGTTACGTTCACGTTCAATAGTAAATTGTATGTTTTCCTGACATATCATCAAATATTAAAAAATGCACTTACTTAGTAGGCATCAGTATAAAAACAAAATTACTTTGGCCATCATATATCTATGTACATATCACACTATGTGCAAAAGGTGAGTCTTTGACTATCAGTGGTATGCTGAGACCCAGGTCGAGCTCGGTTCCTCTAAACAAGACATGAGCTCCCATGAAAACACGATTTGTGAAAACGTTAGTGGTCTCTAAAGTACTGACACTGTTATTGTTGCCTTGGATCTCTATTTGTCTGTGTCTTCGTCATCATGGATCATTTATAAAAGTAGGATATTATTGATGTGTGATTCATGCATGTGGGTGATTCATCACGGATTGGATTTAAGAAAAATACTGACATGCATGCTCTTCTTGACTTGTCATTGTAGCGAGGCAGTGCAACATCATTAGCCTCGCTCCATTTAACTCACAGTTTAGAAAAAAACCCTCCTTATTACCAACCACTGTAATGTTGCAGCAACCAGCATGCAACAGTAGAAAAATGAATTAGACTCATTTCCATGTAATGACAAGCTGAGTGAGAATAAATATAGACAACAAGGTAGCAGAATATGTATTAGAACAAACTGAGAATCACTTACACCAATCACAACTCAGTTATCCATTAAAAAACCAAACAGTAATGTGCACCTTCAGTAGGTAATCATGTGGCTCCACTTTAGCACCAGTCTGCCCTTCGTGGTGTAACTAGTGTTTCCACAGTGTGCAGTGAGACATAAAGGCCCATAACGGCTATGAAATAATTAGGACTCATGTTGGGCTACACTTATAGTTCTAAACTTGAAAGCAGAACATAAAAAAGTCTGCCTCTAGCTGTTGTGGTGCTTCTTTTTCAAAAGAAAAGCAAGAAATCTGATTTACTGTCTTGACACTGGTTGCTCAGGCGTGATAGAGTGTCCTGGCCTTTTCTACAGAGCCTAATAATATATCCACCATGAACATAAAATAAATGTGGCTGCTAACAGCTGATAGAAGCGTTCTGTGCTGAAGTCTTCCTGTAAACTGAGCTCAAACGTTGCATCTCTAACATACAAACAGACACGTATCCTAAACTAACTCTCTGCGTCTCTCTGTCTTTGCCTTTATCGTTCTAGTCGTTATCCGGACGCAAAGGTGATCAACTTCGGCACATGGTTCATCTTCAGCTTCCCCATCGCCATCATCATGCTGGTCCTCACCTGGCTGTGGCTGCACTTCCTCTTCCTGGGCTGCAAGTGAGTAACGCTGTTGTACTGACTGTGACCCACTGTGCTGCTCGTTGTTCTGCTGATGGTCACATCTAGGTGTGTGATTACAGTGATGTGTCTCCTTCTTGCCCACCTCTGCGTGGTATTATTATGGACTCATGGTAATCCCTCTGTCTGGATGTTGCCGCTGTGCCTGTTAGTGTCTTGTGGCTGCAGCTCGGAAAAACACAGAACGACTGTGTCAGGCCGCTGTGTGGTTAATGTTGTTGTTGCTGTGTGTTCAGCTTCAGGGAAACATGCTCGCTGAGTAAGAAACGCAAAACCAGAAGGGAGATGCTGTCAGAGAGGAGGATCCATGAGGAGTACGCGAAACTGGGGCCCATCAGGTGAGTGAGGACTCCTTGTCCAAGCTTTTCCAACTGTGTGTGAGTGGAATTTTTTAGGTTGTATTAAAGACAATTTGTTCAATTACTGCTGAGAATTTGATGTGATGTCATGGAAACGTACAACCTCAGAGCAATTATTTGCTGCGTTCAGTTGGTTTTCAGCCTGACTGCAGAGTAAAAACCAGACTAGTAAAAATGTTCAGCTCTATACACTTTATATTAATATGTAGAAGACCTGTCTGAGAGGTTTTGTATCATAAAATCCCTGTTTTGCATGCGATTATTCAACTGATGATGATAGATTCAACACTTGGCAGCACCCTGTGTGTACAAACAGTATATGTCTATATGTAACTCACACACTCAGACACGTTTTTGTCGCACAATCCTTCTGTGATCACTGCTGACGCATGTTTGTGGTTTGCAGCTATCCAGAGGTGGTGACTGGTGTTTTCTTCATCCTGATGACTCTGCTGTGGTTCACCAGAGAGCCTGGTTTCGTGCCCGGCTGGACGTCTCTCTTTGAAAAGTGAGTATTTAAAATGTGGCAATGCAACCACAAAAACCGAGCAGCGGTTTTTCAGTAACTAATGCTGTCGGCACCATGTCGCACAGAGGACACAGACACTTTACACTGGACTTTGTGGAGTCAGAATTAATGCGAGTAGTTTAAGATGTTTACATGTTTCTAAGCATGTTGCCTCTGTTTTCCCTCTCAGGAAGGGCTACAGGACCGATGCGACGGTGTCTGTCCTTCTGGGCTTCCTGCTCTTCCTCATCCCTGCCAGGAGACCTTTCTCATCCTCCTCCTCCTCCTCCAGCTGTAGAAACTCAGGTCAGAACCGTGCACTGTTGAAGTTTTTCATATGCCTGCGCTACATTTGGAGTAGCTCTTCATTAAAGTTGTTGCCCTGCACATCTAGCTGAGTTACCATTCACACATTTACTGACTGTCTGATCACATCATCAACAGAAACCAGAAACATCATCTACAGCATGTTTTAATGTTGGGTTCATTTAACAATAGTGACACACTTAATATTTGTGTCTTTATTTTTATGCTTTATTCAAAATGAATGCCACAGATAGAAGCTGTATTTTGAAGCATTTGCTGGCCTCAGTTAATAAGTCAGCCACAGACGTTATATTATTTCTGTGAGGCCAAAATGTGTGACAGAGATACGCTTCCCAAACTCTTTCCAGAAGCACTTGTTTGCATCAGCAGCCTCTGCAGGTTGATTTACTGCCTGAAAGGTTTACTGGGTCAGAGAAAAGCCTCTGCTCTCACAGACAAACAGCTCAACTTCAGACACCAATTTTCTATGGTTTTGTCATGTTTTGAAAAATACTGGAAAGCTTTCACCTTTGTTGTGTTTCACGCTACTCAACACAAGATGTTTTTGTGCTGACCTCAGAACACAGTAACCTAGAAGACCCTGACCCTGACCCACACATGCAGCTCAGACATGGAAGTCAATGCAGACCATTTATCTCCTTCGATATTTTGATGTTTAAGACACACATTGATGTGAATACATAATTTTGATAAGATTATATTAAATAATTACTTATTTTGTGAAGGGTTATGTAGCATGATGACTTACCTTTACTGACTTTAATTCTTCATTTGATGTTTTTTTTGTTTATAAGTTTACACCAATGTTCAAGACAGCAGCCATTAAGCAGAACCTTAATTTTTTGGTTATTTGGTTTTAATAAAACAGAATGTAACGTTTAATGTCTACAGTTAATGGTAATAAACACTTGCATCGCTTGGATAGTCTTGAATTTGTGCACAATAAATAGCTGAATAAATTATTGAGTTGGGCTTGTATTGTCTCTATAATTAGTCTGATATTAGATGGCTGTTTTGTGGATTTTTTTGGAAATTCTGCACCTACCAAGTAAAGTCCTATCTATAAATAATAAACAAGTATTATATATAATAATAAATAAGAGTTATATTTATCAGATCCATAAAATGTATGTGCAAGCAGAAATATGATACCAATTCAGTTCTTGTGAACAAGAGCCATAGCTGTTCCTGATGTAATGACATCTTTTCTGTGCTTTTAAACCATCAGACGACGACTCAGAGTCTGACCCTCTTGCTCCCATGATCACCTGGAAGGACTTCCAGAGACTGATGCCGTGGGAGATCGTCATCCTGGTGGGAGGAGGCTACGCACTGGCGGCTGGCTGCAAGGTACTGTGTCTGTGTGTGTTTGTGAAATACTGTACTGCTGTGGTGAAAGTAGCTGTGTACAGTTTTAAGGTATGAATTTTGCCATGTTATGCTAATTCATGCTCTCACTCCACTACATGTCAGACCAGTATGTTTGGGCAGACTTTCTTCTCGACTACATTTGTGTGACAGCTTTAGTTTCTTTTAAGATGAATCACAAGCTTTTAAAATACAACACATTGTTAAAGATTAAACCAGTGGGTTCCAACCTTCCTGGCTTCTTACAAAGAGTGTGAACTTGGGGCCACATTTCAGATGTCTTTGAGTTAATTTTCACTTGGTTTCATTTCAGTGAACATTCCAATGATCCAACATGTCACCAAATATCAAAGAGTAGAGAAAAAGTCCAAAAACTAAAAACAGATTTGTGCATCAGAACTTTTCTTTTTTTCCTCTTCTAATAATAATGTGATGAGCCCTCTGATTTTCCTACTGTCCCTCTAAGTCAAACTGTATACAAAGTAGTTTGTATAAGCAGAGTACAAAGAGGGCAGTGGGAGCATGCTGCTGAATTTACAGCCTTTTGTACAAAAATACGAATGACACTAATTGATACAGAAACTAACACTACTGTGTCCTCATCAGAGTCAAAATGTGCAAAAATATGAGGCAAGTAGATACATTCTGCCAGAACCAGGTGTAAAATTGTCATGGATAATTGGTTGAACAGGGATGTTACATTTACTGAATGATGGATTCGAAGGTGGATGTTGTCAAAGTCCATCCAAGTGCTACACCTCCAGCACCATGTCAGAAACTAAGGGAAATAGATGTACAGTAAATAATGGGGTTCAAACTCATATTGACAAGAGATGAATCAGTAAGTAATGTGTTTTTGTGTTAATGTCTACAAAGTGTGTGATATCTGCATTCTATCCTGTAGAAAAACAGTAAAACATGAAGCACACTGGGTGACTGTAAACACAATGTAGAAAGTAAACGAAGGACTTTGAGGTCGATGTATTGTGGATGTAAACGCAGCGTGAACACGAGAGACTGACTGTAACCTCTGAGGATTCATGCTGTGTGTGTGCAGGTGTCGGGCCTGTCGGTGTGGATTGGCAGACAGCTGGAGCCTATGAGTGGTCTTCCTCCCTGGGCAGTCACCCTGCTGGCCTGCCTGCTGGTCTCAGCGGTCACAGAGTTCGCCTCGAACCCGGCAACTCTCACCGTGTTCCTGCCCATCCTGTCAGCGCTGGTAAGACAGACTCTCCTTTACACGCTTCATCTGAAAACCTGGTCTGTCATACTGATCATGAAACATACATAGATTAAAGGCGAGACAGAGTGATAAAGAAAAAACCTACATCTGATGTGTGTGTTAGCCACAGTTTGAAAACCCAAAGCTCATGTGTGCTGCATCATCACACAGTCCCAGTCAATTACCCGTTAATGAAATCATGTCCTTTAGCACAGTGACTAAACTAAAGAATAAAACTGTTCAGATTGCTTTGAGATTTAAAGGGTTAGATCTGCAATTTGTGAAATATGCTTATTTGCTTTCTTGCTTAGAGTTATAAGAGATGAATGATGCCACTCTCTTAGTTTTTCATTGATGAGATTGACAGCAGCTGTTAGCTTAGCTTAGCACAAAGACTGAGACTGCACACCTGAACAGCTCAGTGTTGTAGCTCTGGCTGTCACCATCATGGCAGTACGTGACTCTTTCTTACTACTAAATTAATTTGGCTAATCCAAATGCGGAAAGATGTAGAGGACTGCATTGGGAATGAGATGTGATTGGTAGGAAATTCAGCAAGGGCATGTTTAAGAAAACGTCTCTGTGCAGGTGACCTGTCACTCAAAGCAAACTCTTTATTAACTTTAAGCCTAAATACAATTTAAATGGATGAGAATCCCCGTACAGTTATCATAGGAGGGGAAATTAGCTATAAAGACCAACACTTTTTTTGTACAAGTCTGTAAAAATGTTCATTTCTGCTGTAAAATTGGTCCTTTTAACATAGAAATCTATCCGATTGTCTCACTTTTGGAGCTAACCTCAAGTGGCCATTCTAGGACCTGCAGTTTTTGCCACTTCTGTGCTGGCTTCATGCCTCAGCTCTGAAGGTTGCCACTCGAGTGACATGCAACATCAAACTCTCACCAAGAAAGAAAAAACAGCATTTCCCAAAGTGTTTAATAATTCCTTTAAATGACTCACATTGCCTCTCATCTTACTTTTAAAGTTGCTGTTTGTGTAGCATTGGAGAAGTTAATGTAAAAAAGCAAACCCCTCTACAGCTCCATCTAATAACAGAATTACTTTGACTTTGCTCGACCTATGAAGGATGTTGGTTGGTCACACAGAGACATGTGCTAAAAATGTCTAATGTCATGCATGTTGCTAAAAAAAGTTGTAACACTAATGCAATTCTGACCTCCTTCTGCTCCCTTTTGATCATCATCTCCCTCCTCATCCTAATTATCTGTCCTTATTAACCTTTCCTGATTCCTCCTTCTCTTTCCTGCTTCTTTCAATTTCTGCCTCCTCTTTCTTCCTTCCCTCTACCCCTCCACACTACCTTGTCTATTTCTTATTCTATCTCTTTACTCCTTTATTTCATCACTCTTGCCATTTCTCCTCTTGGCTTCCTTTTGTCTCTCTGCTCCTTTGTTCTTCTCCTCCATCCAGTCGGAGACGCTGCACATCAACCCCCTCCACACTTTGATCCCGTCCACCATGTGCGTGTCATTCGGGGTCATGCTTCCAGTGGGGAACCCCCCCAACGCCATCGTCTTCAGTTACGGACACGTGCAGATCAGCGACATGGTAGGACACTCACACACTCACTCTGTCTGCACCTGCAGCATCAAAAGGCTCAGAGTACAGCGTGTCACGTGGTTTTTGTGTGATCAGAAGATACAAAAAAATTCTTATTTCTTCACTATTTGTGGAAAAAATAATGATAATATTTTCATTTTTGGCTCACACAGAATCCATCTAGCGCTTCATTTATTATTGACACATCTTTTTCTCCTCTTCATCTCCAGGTGAAAGCAGGTTTTGGGGTGAACCTGATCGGTGTGGCAGTGGTGATGCTGGCCATCACGACCTGGGGAGTTCCCCTCTTCAGTCTGACAGAGTTCCCTGCCTGGGCGATGGCCAGGAACGTCACCGGGAGCTTATAACCACCGATGGGCTGGCGCCAGTGGCAAGAAGAGCAATAAATTACTGGCAGACAGAAGGAGAGAGAGAGAGAGAGACTGTGCAATGATTTCTGTGGAGAGACAATGAGAAAATGACATGTGGTGTGTCAAGAGGATGGTCTTGCTCAGAATTGGACTGACTAACCTGGCCTTAAAGGAGGAAGAGGAATGGGGGAAAGGAGGAGAAGAGGTGAAGGAAGAACTGTAACCTGTTGATATTTTATTTGTATTGGCCATATGGGGGTGTTACCAGGAACGCCTTTGTTAAAGTGGTCACTGGGGGGGAACTCTGAACTGCATCAGAAACCTTTTTTTCCTTCTGTTAATGCAGTTAGATTTTGTTTTCAGCGAGTCATTTAAAACCACAAACCTGTCTGTGGTGATTAAGAACTGATGTTCTGTTTTCTGATTTACAATAGAACCAATGATAAGTTCCGTTTTTAGATCCGGGAAGCGTTTTCAGAGCTGCGTCATGCCTTCTTCTGTGGATTACTTGATGTTTAGATAGAAATAAGCTGCATGGCCACTGTAGATGAGCCTCTTTTTAATGCATGCTTGCTGAACTTAACTTCTGCTGCACGTAAATGTGTTGCTCTATAACTGGATCACATACGTTTCAACAGGGTGCGCTGGTAGATTTGGAGTTTTATCTTCATATACACTCCAGTATAAAAGAAGGATCTGGCTGCTGGATTCAAGCAAGATAAATGCATGAATAGAGGTGTCTACTGTGGCTGCTGATGTACTGTATACATAGAGCTACTGTACTTCTTATCAAGCCTTTTACATGTACTCAGTATCTCTGCGTAGGAGTCTGTATGCCTTTCTATAGAGAAAGATTATAATGTGCTGTCCATGTATGTCCTTAGCTGCTACTGATATTGTATTGGAAATCTATGCTCTCTTAATATCTGACTGATGTCTTTACCAAAGTTTCTGAGGCTGATTTTGTGCCCTGGTATGCTGTGAACGTTTGATTGTTGTTGGCACATTTTACTCAAAGCACCTTGCAGTGCCTTTACCATGTTAGTGCCTGTCATACCACAGTTTGCCTTTTGTGGGTCTCAAACCCCCTGATAGCGTTAGCATGTTGCTGTAATCTCAGAGCAGTGCAGGACCAGGGCTCTACCTTCCTCCTTAAATCACAGAAAGCAATAGTGTCATATTTTTTATTGTGCTATTTATCAGCTATATGCCTGTACTTCATACAATATCAAGAATGTCCAATGTACTGTATTTACAGTATAGAATAGTCCTGAACCGGCTGACTAATAATACCATCATGTATTTTATACAACACTGATTTTTGAGCTTTTCGTGTAGCGTTTCATTATTTTTCTGCCATTGTTCTGTGTATTCATCAGGGAGTTTTGGAAACAAGGCTCCTGTCCGTGCTGCTTTTAAAGGTGGATTATGCGTTTCTAATCAATACACCTTTTGCCAAATTAAATGATATCTGTTTTAACCACAGACTGTATATAAAAGTTAAGCTGTCGGGTCTGAAAGGTGAAGTCAGTACGAAAGTGATTTAAACCTGCATTCTTTCTATCAGCCAGCAGGGGGCGACTCCTCTGGTTGTAAAAAAGAAGTGATTGCACAGAAGTCTACGAGGAAATGCCCCTACTTCTCACTTGATCAGTTGTCTCAGTCAACATTTTCCTGATGAGTGAATGGCCTTCATTGCTAGTTTCAAGACTTTTTTATACAGCATTATATTCATTTTGTAAATTATTTTCCCATTTATAGTAAAACAGACAATAAAGCAGAGTATGTTGTAGTGATTGACAGGTTGGTACCGTATTGATGTGCGCAGTGTTCTCAGGTTCTCAGTCAGATCCAACCCTTGTTTGTTACATCTTTCAAAAATCAAGACCGCAAGGCTTCTCAGCAGTTGTCCACAAACCAATGGGTGACATCACAGTGGCTGCAGCCATCTTTTATATACAGTCTGTTAGATGCTGCTTATTTTTTGTCATGCTGAATACATTTTAAAACTTCAAAACTTGATGAAGTAAAAAAAAAAAAACGATTTTCTACTTGCTGAGGTCCTCAGTTATGGCAGTATGATCTTTAATAGTGAAAATTATGTTCTGTGTTAGTCTTGCTGGTAGAAATATACAGTAATTATGAGAAAATGATTGATGAAATTTTTCACTTTTGCCTGCAAAGCAACAAAATGTTTGGTCTCCACTTGGAGGTGTGGCTTTTCTCCTGGCACCTGAATGCAGAATGAAATACAGTAGAATTTCAAATACAGCATCCAAAGTATTTAAGGAAGAGAGAGAGTGAGTGAGTACAGGGTTGTATGGTGCAGAGGTTTCTTCAATCAGCTGTCAAATCACAATAACTGTTGTCTGGTGGTGAAAAGGTTTGCACAAAACACTCATTGTACTGTGCCAACATGTTAAAGATATGCTTTATATTTTTACACAAATCTCAAATAGAATTTGTGACGTTTTTTTATATCTCTACATTATACGTATAGGAGTTAGCTCAGGCTGAATCAGAAGCCTGTGTTTTTCTTGTGTAATTTATTTACTTCTTCTTAAGGTTTCATACATCTCAATGTTGTGTTGCAGCAGTGACCTTTGACCCAGGGGCCACACTCTTCTGTAAATACATACAGGTTTGTAATATAAGCATAATGTGCCTTTGCCTGTTTCAAATGAGCTGTAACATTCCTAAATTGCGTGTTTTACTTTGATAATGCATTCATATCCAACTATGTCAAACTAGAGTTACATTATACGTGTACAACAATAAAAACAACTTATACCACTTGGTCTATTTAATTTATTCGCAAACAACACAAGTCAGTCACACTTCTCTGATTTTGTCCAATGAGGCACTGTTGTGGAATTATATAGTTTCTGCAATCAGTAAGAATCAGCATTTATTTGTAAATCACACAAGTGTCATTAATGATGGGTTTGAATTCATAAAAACGTCATTAACCCCAAACACCAGCATTATTCCAATGAAGAGAATCACAGAAAGAGCATCTTGGACAGTGGTATGATAGGTAACTCTTATCCTAGGTAATGGACGCGCACCCAGCATGTGTATGAGAGTGCAGGACTCCAGTGTAATTACGTATTTCACAGGTAACAATTGCAAAAATTTGTCCACAATGACACAAGTTACGTTCACGTGAAATCCAACAGTACTCATTAAGAGCACATTACACTGGCTCGGTTGGATGACATGAGCTGATGTCACTTCATTGCATTTCTGAGGATAGAAGCTCAAACAATGTTCACACAGTTCCCTTGTGCTGCCATTCAGATTTCTTATAGCAGCGTTAAGGTCTACAAATAAATAACAATAAAGGTGAACTAAAGGTACTTTGTCCACAATGAAGTTGAAAACTCATTTCCAAGTCCTGCATCTCTGTCCCAAGTTGGTGAAAAGTCACTCATCTTGCAGACTGTGATGGTAGAGGTTAGGACGCCTCCTGGGGGCCTTCAGCTGGCTTGAACCCTTCTTTCTGCATTTTCTCTTTGTATTTTAAGAAATCTCTCCTCTTGGCGAAATATTTCACCTGTCAGGGAAGATGGAGAAGATCAACAGTAGGTTAAAGGCTACCTTCAGTGAAAACTTTCCACCTTGGTAACATGTCCATATGACATTTTTTATTTGATGCAAGACAAATTATAGGCAAAATAAGTGATCAGCTCCATGGCTTTCACCTGGAAACTCCAGAGTATGTACTAATGAGTGTCAAAAATACAGATTCAGATTTCTGGGGTTTCATACAAAAAAACCTAAGGAACCATTCCTGCCAGCTAGCAGGGTGGGGCTTTCTGCATCATTATTGTTTTTCTGAACTGGTTACCAGTTCATACATGTATGGCTGAATTACTCTATAGTACTACTTGCTATTGTGTAGAGCTGTTATACAATGTTTGCTGACTTGCACATTCTAAAGAAAGCAATGGTGTCAAGTTAAATCTAGGCAATTTATAGGCTTCTGAACATGTAACTTTGATTCGCAGAATCTGACTTCAAAAACTCTGAAATACTGTAAACAGTGTTCACTACTCATTTCTGACCCTACAGCCTGGAGAACTTTTCACTAAATAGAACAATAATTTTAAAAACACAGAAATATTTTACCCATTGTGCAGGACATTTTGCCTCAAATTCGCTCTGGAACTTCTGGCAGGATTCAGCTCTGTCACCATTATCGTCCAAACATTTCCAGAGCAGGTCCCTGGCGTCCCAGCAGGCCTTTCGTTCTGCAGAGTTTGGAGCCGTCATTGCTGCTGGACTCTAGGAGGGAGTTCACAATGGAAAAGGAAAGAATATTGAGAGCAGAACCTGCCATAGCTGGTGCTAAAAGATGGTTAAACTATTGAAAGACACCATTGTAAACAAGAAGCAGGCCCACTGAAATACTAACCTGTTCTACTCAGTATGTCTTTAATTATTTATTTATTACTACTATTACACTAGTCTTTGTATTTTTAGATTGAGTAGAGCCTTTATTCACATCATTTCCATCAGGTTTAAACATAGACTGTAGGTTTACATTACTTTTTTATTTATTTATACAGGAAATGGTCTCTAAAAAACCAATGTCTTGTCTCCTAATAAAAACAAGGTAAGCTGATAGTAGCTGTCAGTTGGAGCATGCTTGTATTAAACTTGGCTGTTACTCACTGTTTGAAGCCTTAAAACCTTCCGGAGCACTTGCTTGTTCCAACCACTGCTTCTGCTTACTGCTGTTACTCCATAAAACCCTCCAAAACACCCCAATGCTTTTACAAATCGACAGCCAGCAGACTTTTATAACGTGTTTGGTTACTGAGCAAAGTGAAGGACGCGAGCAGCAGCAGCAGCACTTCCTTGTCGCACGATGATGACGTCGGGGCGCGCGATTAGCCTAACGGACCAGGTGATGGCGCAGTTGGAAAACGAGAGAGCAGTGAGATATTTCAGGGTTTTACTTGAGAATTAAGAATAACTACATAAGTAAATTAAATCAATATTACTATTTTTGATACGAGCATACGAGCCAAACTATATTTTTTAAATGTCTTATGTCATTTTTGCGACAGGTTTCGCCAGGCTGCAGTGATAAATCTGCTGAGAGGAAGCAACAGGTGAGTGATTTGTTAGCTAATGTAGCATCCTTCTTTAGCTTAGTAGGTTTTATTTTGGAATGAAACGTACACACGAATACACACCAAACCTTTTATCTGTAACACTGTAACATGACAGGTGTGTTTTTTGTTGTTGTTGAATTGGCTTATTTTTCTCTAAAGGTAATAAAACAAACATTTAAATGACAAAGTACTTTTTTAAAAACTCAAACTAAAGAGAATTAATAAAAGAAAAAATGAAATGCTGCTCGTTGCAACTTACAGGGCAGAGTAATATTACTTTATTTTATTTTACTTAAATGTTTTTCCAAATTGAATCACTTCCAATTGTTGCACCATTTCTAAGTTGACAAGTAGAGTATTTCTTCTTATGAACAATCAAAACTAATTCTTTCAAAAGACTACATTAAAATAGGTCTCAAAGTAGAAACTTAATTCTTACTCAAAAGCAGATCGCTGGCAACCCAAGTTAGAAAAACTGTGATCACTGAAAGCAAACAGAGTATTTCCAAATATCCTGACTGTATTAACATGGTTATAAAATGAGCTGTGAACACCAGAGGTTTCTCAGTTTTGGACTTATGGGCTGTGTCTGAAATATGGCTCTGCATGGAAAAGAATTTACTCAGGAACTGAAAAGTCTGATTGTGACACTTGACAAAGGTGGAAAATGATACACAAAGATCAGTGACCAACAAAGAATCAGTGGAAACACAGTTGCAGCAGTAATCAAAGGATATAGAACAAGCTATAGTACCTCTAATCAGATGGTGGCTGTCCTCCTAAAATGACACCACAGACAGTGTGCTGTTTGCTCTTCAGAGCAGATACAAGGGTTATCATTGGAAATCAGAGCTGCTGTTACAGTTTAGACAGTTCAACCTGGACAAACTCCGAGAGAAACACCCTTGTTTGCCGTTCAGTACAGAACTGCAAGATTAAACATATTATTCAGAAATACATTTTTTTTTTTTTTGTATTATAAAAGAGCAAATACCCTACTCTTTATGCAGTGCAATTACTGTAAAGTGATGCAGTTTTGAGCTATTGATATTACACATGCGGTGTACTCACTTCTGTTTTGCACTCCTATCAGGAGGCTGGGCTTTACAATTGCTGTCATTATAGGCAGCATTTGAAAACAAGACAACACTGCCTCACTGACTGAGCGATGGGATATTATGCAGAATAACGCTGACCCTCAGTGACCCATTTGTGCTGGATTAGTGCAATTAAGTAGATGTCCTCTTATCAAAATGAGAGATTCACATATGAAAACACAGCATTACACTGTTGTGGGGAATGAATACGTAGCAGTTAGAGTTTCGTCACCAATATCCGTTTTGTTGTGATTTGAAAATACTTTCCACTTCTTTTCCCACAGATTCTGCAGTAGCATTAACTCGAGGCTAAAAGTTAGATTTATGTTTGTGTCGGCACGCATTAATTTATTCATTCATTCAAATAAACGTGAGAAAACATACTGTTATTTCACTCCTGGATGCCTCATCCACAATACAACATAACATGGTGCTATGTCGTTGCATGATTACGTTGTGTGTGCGTGTGTGTGTGTGTGTGTGTAGCTGGGCAGTGTGTAAAATGAAAATGTGTGTTGTTGATTAACTCTCTCTCGTTTCCCTCAGCCACAGTGACGGAGAATAGCCCCACTGGTTGCCATGGCTCCCAGCAGCAATCCATCTCAGTTCGTGTGCTTCTGCGGGCTGAGGGGAATAAAAAACACAAGCACCCTAATGCAGGGTTGAGGTGCTCGCCCCCTTCTTAGGAAAGTAAGTGTTTGTTGCCCCATGTGTGTGTGACTTGAGAGTGTCTCTCGAGCTACTTCAGAGACGGAACTTCATTCACTATTTATGTCACACACCATTTACCAACCTCACTTCAAGTTTGTTTTCTCCACTGTCAATGAGTGTTTTCATTTTAGGCTGCTCCAGTATGATTTAAGACCAAAGTTTGCAGCGAAAACACAACAGCATTTTGAAGAAAAACTCTGATTTATCAATATTTATTGTAACGGCTCTTAGGGACATGAAAGAACAAAGGAAAAAAAGAAATGTTTGGAGTGTTCAGAAAGTTTTAAAGTTTCTAAAATTGTCAACTGCATTGTGACTGCACTTCACCACCACAGGGTTGGTTAGTCGACTGAGTTAGTCGATTGTATATTTTGTTAATAGGCATAAAAGATGCATTTTGAGCTTCATGGAGCATTTGTTTCATTTTGAAGCTAAAAGAAAACATTAAAACCAAAAAGAGAAGCCCCTTTCTCAGGACAGGAATTATTGTGCATTTGGAATGAGGTAGATTCTACTAGGTGGTTGAAACACCTTATGGTAAACATGCAATATGTGGAGACAAGAAGTGGGTGGTTGTCAGCTTATGAAGCTGCTGTGCAAATGTAGTTCAGCTTAAAAAATGCATTAAGCTCTGAGGCAAGCGATAAAGTTTTGTGGTTGTGTTGTAAATCTCTAAATGATGAAGAATGAATGTCTCCCTCATGTATATGTGACTCACAAACTTCCATCCTCATGTCAGTTCACTGTGCACTTAGAGTGACTTATATTTCAGCAAGACAGACAAAACACATGGCAGGATGATATGCACTGGTACATGAGTATCTGGTATCTGATAGAAGCCCCCCCAAAGCAATGAACAACAAATATGGAGTCTAAACAGAAAAACAGACATTTAGGTTTACTCAGTTGCATTTATGGAAGCTCGATCTGGATGTTTATAAGCAGCATTAATTACAATTAAAGTTTATTTAATATGACTGTGTCTGCGATAGAAACACAGTTTACTGACTGTAGCCAGGAGAGTGCTTATTGCCATTCGATATCACACCTCATCCTGGCCAAACTCTGGTCAATGTCTTAAACCGGCCACATTGGCTTATGCACATGTTCATCACGCCATGCTGATCGTTAAGCCACATTCCCTTGTGAACTTTTGACCCCTGAAATGGCTGTTTTCTGCAAAACCAGGGAATAAAACACTAATGCTTGCCGTCATTTTCGGAGGAATTAGTGGAGGATTAGCATATGTGCTATTCAGAACAACTACCAGGATATTATGAGATGTATAGGATATTCAGAAGGGAAATATATACCTTCAAACAACCAAAAGAAAAGGATAGAGGGAAGCTTTTTCCTTGTCAGTTAATATTCCCTGTGTTCTCTATTTCCAGCATGCATTCTCTGCTTATTCTGTTGAGTGCTTTGGCTTCGCTTGACAGTACTGTCATTTTTATTTACATTTCTATATTCAACGTGCAGTAGGTGTCATCAGTGGGATTTGAAGCTTAATCCTGGCAGTTTTAGTGGATCATCCATCTGGGTAACGCAGGCTCTCACCACTGCATAGCTTTAATACGTTGCTAGTTTCGACGTTGTGTGAGAGAGGCTCTGATAGCTCTCAAAAGTTATTTTCTCATTCTGTTTGAAACTCTTATTTTCAGTTTTTTAAAGCGACGTAGTGAGGTAGCTGATCCACAGTGTCATTGCGAAGCTATTAAAAGCACTAAAGCATTTCCTCTTCCTCCCACTGCAATGTTGTCAGCAGCAGCCATCTAAGCTGGCATCAGATTATTTGTGGAGAGGCCTAGAAACATGAGGAGGGGCAGTTAGTTGCAGCAGTATGATAAATTATCCATTCAGCGTTGTCACGACTAGTGTCACTAATGGAAAAAACAGGTACTTCAGTGAGAGAAATACTTTTTAACTTTGAAATGAGCCTCTTCTTGTATGAGCACCTGTACGGCTGCAGTGGTCATGAGCTCACTGTCACCTGTCAGTCAGTGTCACTGCAGAGGGGATGTCAAGAGAAGGATGGCAGTGTTTGACATACGACAGTTAGGTCTAAAGGGATTGTTTGGCTCCTTTGAAGCAGTGTCGTGTGAAAAACGTTTCAGCAGTCAGTGTATTTCCTGCGATAGATGATGGTTGGTATGCCTTCAGTTTGGAGACGGAGAGGAGGACCAGCACAGGAGCTAACCACTGAAGTGCTGTGGACGAGGTCAGCTGTGAAATGTATTTTAACCGCCTAAAAAAAGTGCCTGCTTAAGAAACGCAGTATCTGTTAAAGTGTGCACTTTATTTAGAATATTTTCACCACTTTACCTTGCTGTCAGTCAGCCCTTTTCAATGAAGAGCTGAAGCAGATGTGTCGCTCTATGCTCGCTCTAGAGCCACTAGACAGAAACAACATTTTTACCTTGCAGAATGCGCATTTTGCTGGCCTACCACTGTGTGACTTTTATGTTTTAGCTATTTACAAAAACACAAACAACGTGGCTGAGGTAGTGGTATACCAATGTGCTGTGAGGTAAAGTTACTGTTTTTGACAGTGGACTTTGATAGACTTCAACTACCTGCTGAAGAGGGCTGATTGACAGCAAAATAAATACAGTTTATATATAGTTCCATTATTTAGAAAATCTGGCCCATGACGGGAGACCTTAGCCAATTGCAGGACTTCTCACACAGAGCATGTGAGATAGTACAAATTCTAATGATGTCCACAGTGACAACAGGATGTGAATTGGACGGAGGACTGTCACGTGGGAGTGTGGGGTTTGAATCCCAGATGAAGCTACTAAAAAAATGCTGAATTTTAGTTTGGCTATCTGTGTCTGAACCACATGTTTGTGTGGCTGGAGTGGTTTGGAATAGAAAGGGGAGAGGAAGAAAAATTGTTGTTTTCCTTTTCAGTCTTCTGCCCACTGCAACTTTAAACTG